TTTTGTGGTCAGGAATCTTTTGCTTATAAAGCTTCAATAGACTTGAAGGTCTTTGTAAGTGAAGTTCATCTTCAAGGTTGGAAGCAAAAAAAAAAGGATCGGATCCTTAAAGAAACCCCTTTTGTGCACCTTCATTTAAAACTACATTTGATGGTGACCCTGGAGGAGCTTTTTTTTCTGCCTTCAAATTCCCCCCGCTCCGATCTTTCCCCACGCACCCGCATTGTCCCAAAATGGGGAAAACTTAGCAGCTAGTGAGAAACTTTGGAAGCGATCCCCCCCACACCTTCTCACCCCAGATTTGGGACCCTCTCAATGCCGAAAATATCTTTCACCCCTCTCCCTCTTGGCCCGACACTGACGATATAGCAAAAAAATCCAAATCCCACCACCTCAACCCTGGGCCATCGCCGTTTTGCCATCAGTTTTGGGGGAAAACAACAGCCCCAAATTTCCTGAGCCCCCCCCAAAGCAAGACTTGTATATTTGCTGTTTCACCCCCCAAAAAATGCCAAGCTTTGAGACACGAGGAAATGATTTTCTGCCCAAACTGATAGAGCAGCTCCTCCCTCTCGTTGCTTGAAAGTTCCCTGTCCTTGCAAACACCCTCATTGATAAACCTCAATCACGTCCCTTAAAAATGTCATTTTCCCAATTGTTTTTTGGGGGAAAAGGGAATAATCACCCCCAAAAATCACATTACAAAGCCGGCTGCAGCCGTACCTCACCCCCCACCCCACATCTACAGCACAGGAGCTTTCAAAGTTTAATTTTTCCTCCAAAAAGAGGAAAGCATCAGTGGAAGGAGATGATAACAGGGCCCCCTGCTCTCCCTCACCGCCGGCCTGGCCTTCAGCCTTGCATCAGAGAGGCCAGATTTATTTTGTCCGATTTTATTTAGGGGTGCAAACCCCCCCGTTTCCTCCTCTCCGAGGACCCCCCCATCTCCCCTCTGCTCTCCCCCGCTGCCGGTGGCTCGGCGGCAGCCCCAGCGCAGCCCCGATCCCGGCTCCTCTAATTGATATTGATTGGCCAAATCGGTCAACTGTCAGCCAGAGTTTCAGGGGACCACTTAGAGAGCAGGAGAGAAATCTGTTTAACAAATTCATTTAAGAATCAGAGATGCCTCCCCCCCTCCTCCCCAAACCACCAGCAACTCTTCCTGCTGGGAAAGCATCCTCAGCCCCAGGCGCTGGGTACCACCTTCCCCTCCCGGGGCCCTGCATCACACCCTCGACGCTGCCAACAGGCGTTTTCCAAAAGGAGAAACACAAAAGGCTCCGGAGCCATCCCTCGGTCTTGGTTTTGGTACCGAGAGACCTGTCCCCTCTCCCAAATCATCCCCTCCAGCCCAGCCCCGGGGCACGCACGCCGCCTTTACCTTTGTCGCCCAGGATGCCGTCTATGCTGTGCTTGGCCTTCTTCTCCCCATCTTCCTCCTTCTTGTCGCAGTCCTCCTCTTCCTCTTTCTTCCCGAATTTGATGCGTAGCACACGGCTAATCGAACTCACTAAACCTCAGACAGTCAAAGACAAAAAGGCAAGTATAAGCTGCCTGGGAAAGGCAAGGGGGGAGCCGCTGCACGACCTGCACCAGGGGCCTTGCACACACACACACACACACACACACACACGAGGGGGACCCGCACCCCTTTTTCCCAGAGGTACCCACCCGCCTGCTCCTCTGCACCCTCCAGAACACCCCCGAGTTCAAGCTGTCAAGGTGGACACCCAACGTTGGACGTGTTCATCACCATCCCCCCGAGACCCCTGGCAGAAGCAGCACCCCTCGGAGCATCTCTGCCAGCGTGACACCCCCAGGGCGCCCCCCCCCAGGGTCACCACCTGCTTTATAACAGGGAAAAGCCCCCCCAAACACTCAACCTGCGCCCCAGCCCCAAAGGGGACCCCTCAGTGTGGATTCAGACCCGGGCCTTGTCCTGGTTTTGGGGGGAGATGTGACCTGCAGAGAAGGCTGAGCCCCCCCAGAGCAGGGGGGAGCGCACAGGTAGGACCTAAAGAGCTCAGACACCCCCCCAGGCACAGTGTTGGGGTGCAAGGTCACATCCCAGGAGCGGTGGGGAGCCCTGGCTGATGGAAACGCTGCTCTGCAGCCCCCACCAAACAAGCAAGCATCAACAGGGCAACCAGGGTCTCCCTTAACCCTGGATTTTGGGGGTCTGCCTCTGCGTGTGCGCTCCCTTCACCCCCAGACCCCCCCCTCTGCTTTCACCGGAGTTGGAATAAGTTGGGAAAATGGGTTTGTTTGTGTTTGTTTTGCCAGAGGACCGCAGCCTGGTGTTTATTTGCTGCTGTGGCTTTGCTTGGGGGTGATTTTTTTCCCCTGCCCTCTCAAAGCAAAGGCCACGGGGCTCCTTTAGAGCCCCTGGGAACATTTTTAGGGGTGCTAATAATTTCCTTCCACCTTCCTGCGGGTAGAGGGGGTGTCTTTCTTGCCAAGCTGCCTTCTCACCTGAGGGCACGGTGCTCCGGTCGCAGTGCCCATCCTTCAGGAGCCTGTCTCGGATCTCCCAGCTAAACATCCCGGGGTTTTCCCGTTTGTATTCCTCGATTTTCTTCTCCACGTCGGGAGTCGCGACCTGCTTTTGTGATCAAGGGACACGGGGGTGCGCCCGCGGGTGCGGGGAGAGGGAAGGAAAAAAAGCACTTTTAATTGAAGGGAAAAACTGCTCCATTCAGCCCAATCCTCCTCCTCCTGCCTGCTAGTTTGGGGGCTGCGAAGAGGGATCTGAAAGGGGGAAAAGGAGGGGAAAAAAGCAAGCTGAGGAAAGGTCCCCGTTTCCTACATCTTGGCCACCCCAAAAGGAGAATCTCTGGGGGCTAAGGGGATCACCCAGGCTGGGTTTATCCCGAGCCCCAGGGAGGGGAAGGAGGCAGAGAGGGGGTTCACAGGATGCTTTTAGGGGGGTTTTATGCACACTCAATGATTTATTATTCCCCAAAACATCCCGACTCGCTTCCTCCCCACACAGCGGGGCCGAAGCAAATGCTTGAACGCGCGGCACTTGTTGCACATGAGAGAGAGAGAGAGAGGGGAAAAAAAAAATCAAATCAAATCACTTTAATTTATTCATAGCTTTCAACTCGGCACCGGTTTCTACCCATCTGAGCCTGAAAACTGCAGCTTTATTAAAGCCAATTCCCCTCCTGCCCCGTTTCCCTGAATAAAAAAAAAAAACCCTTAGACCCCCGCAAAGAAATCTGATTTTTTTTTTTGTCGACCCTAAGGAGGGTGATTTAACTCGGCCCCCGCATTTCACTCACCCTGGGCTTGCTGCCTCCGATGGCTCCGGGCCGGATGGAGCCCGTCTCTTGGTACCTACAGAGAATTTTGGAGACGCAACCGTGGGAAACCCGCAACTGCCGGGAGATCACGCAGGGCCGGATCCCGTGGTGAGCCATCTCCACGATTTTATGACGGATATGGTTGGGAAGTGGTCGACCGTTGATAAACACCCCTCCGAGCTGGTTCACCCTGCCCTGGCCCAGCGGGGTGGAAACTGCAGAGCGAAAAGGGGGAAAGAAAAGAAGACACCCAACAATGAAGGGGGTGGAAAAGTGAAAAGAAGGGAAAATCCAGCAAAACGGGGCATGCCCCGCACCTTCAGCTTCTCTCCCGGTGTTTCAAGCTTTCAAAGAAGGGAGAAACCTCTCGCCCATCCCCTGCCCTCCGTATTTATCCCCGGGAAGACTTTTCCTGATAAAGGGAAAATAAAAATCCCCCCTGACCCGCACGCCCATCACCCGCTCCCCGAGGTGCCCGCGCTGGTTGTGTCCCTTTTTCCACATCTCACACCTATATTTTAAATCGCATCCGACCTTTTAAATAAGGAAAGACCTAAACCCGCCTGGCGAGGCCCCCGAAAACTTCTCATTTCCCCCGAAAACTTCTCATTTCCCCCGAAAACTTCCCATTCCCCTCGAAAAATCGCACTCCTCGCTGCCAATTACGGAGCTCTCTGCTTTCAAACAAACTTTTGGAAATAGAAATACCCTCGAGGGGCTTCTTCTTTTTTTTTTTTTCCCCT